GGGCTAACCATTAATAGATACACACACAGCTTTCCATGGAGCTGCTAATTTTTAACCTTCTCCTGTGTCCCAGCCGAGTGCGTTCCTGCCCCTCTGATGGAGCATTACTGAACTCTGGCGATTGGGGCATATTTTTTGGGATGGCTCATGGCTGGAGATGCCCATCACCATTTTCAGTTCAGCACATCAGTGAGCTCCTCCTGCAGACAGGCAGCCAAGTGCCTCCCAGCCTCTCCAGGGGCTGTAGGCACACCAAAACTTGGCCAGGTTGGCTTCAAGTTGGCTTCACCATCCCTGTCTCCACTTTATGTACCACAGAGGAAAGTCTCCCCCTTGTACCTCCCTCACTTTCCAGCCCAGCAGCTTCAGGCATGGGCTAGCTCAGAGAGTTGTTCTGAGCTCTGCCTTTTTTCATCTATTAGAGGGCCAAAACTTGCAAAACCACTTTGGGTGCTGCTGTCTGCTTCCCAGAAGTGTTGCAATGCTGCTCTTCAGCAGGTCAGGAGCTGTTTGGGAGTAGTGTTGCTCTTGAGTGTCTGAGAACAGAAGTATTTTTACCATCTTTAGATGGTAAAAATATCTACTTTTATAGCAGGCAGCAGTAACATGTGCTGCATCTTTAGCCAGAGAATAGAAATAGGATTAAATTTATTATTGTAGTTTTTGGCACGTGGTAGTTGCCTATTACTAACAATCATTTTGTGTGAATTGTATTTTTTTTTACAGCTTCCCTGGAAAAAGAAGGAGACAAGCTTTTTCCATGAAAGCCCCAGCAGCCTGTCTGTGGCTCACTTGTGGGAGGGGGCAGAGTGGGGATGGCAAAGCTGCACAGCGCCCACACCTTGTGTCTCTGTCCCCTCTTTCCCACCATGGCACAGCCAGGAGGAACAGCAAACAGCATGGTGAGGACCTGGAAAGGAAAAGGAAGTGTTTTCCTAGCACAGGAACTGTTTGTAACACGGTGGAGGTTTCCAATGTTCAGGTGAGTTTGCCTTTTATTTCACATCCCTGATCCTACACCCCAGTTTGACCCTAGCTCTCCTAAAGCTCCTTTTCATTAAAACCATAAATCAGTCCACTTTTTTGCCATCTGAATCCCAGTTTGGCCATCCTTTGTTGCATGGAGGGTTGCTTGGACCAAAGGACTGAGCGATGTTCAAGACCTGGTGTGCACCATGAAACCAGGCTGCACCTGGATTCCCATCCAGCCATTTGACTCCTGGAAAGAGGCAATCTCAGATGTCTCAGCTGGTCTTTGCTGCACACTAGAGAGCTGTGCCTGGGATCCTGACCTTACTGCAGCTATGGTGGCTGAATGAGGTGTACCCTCATTAATAATGGGGCTGTAAGGAGTCACATCCACACAGATGATGTTTCTTCCACCTGGAGCTGCTAGGAAGCAGCAAACCTAAACTTATGCCACAGAGTCTGGAAATGGGAGAAAGTCAGAGATGTCCCAGGATTTTGCTGCTGGAGAGTGGTTGTATTTTGTGAAATGCCAAGGCAGAGATGGAGCTTCACCCTGCAGCAGGCTGTGGCTTTTGAAAGGGCCTGGGAGTGGCTCAGACGGGTGCAGAGAGAAGAAGGAATCACCACGGAAATTCAGAACCTCTTTAGTGCCACGGCAGACATCTAGATGTGACTCACAGGCTTTTATCCACCCTTCCTGCCCCAAGGAAAATAGGACAATGAAAACCTATCTGTAGAACACCTCAAGTATCTTAGATAAAGGATTTTATATAACTGATTATAAAAGAGACAGAGAATCAACTTATAATTACATCACTTTCAAATCCATACCCAGGTCAGACCCCCTGGGTTTATGTTCTGCTTTAACCACAGGTTAAAGTGTAAGTGATAAGAAAATGAACATTAAGATCAGGCCTTTCCAAATAGGGATTTTCCTCTCTCTGTTACAGAAAAACTGTGCAATGATACTGAAAAGCCAAGTTCAAGGGCCTTGGCAAGTATTTATGGGCTGTGGCACGTAAACACTTGAAGGAGCCTGAGGGATCTCATGGACTGTGTGATCCTCAAGAACGGGATTTTGTAGACAGGAGACAGGATGGTCAAGAGAGAAAGGCCCCAGGCTGTGGTGGTGGCTGTTCTGGAGATGAAGGGGGACTTTGCTGTAGGTCATCCTTTCACAATCCCTAGGAGACAGAGCCCTTTTTCAATTCTCTTCCCAAAACCTTGGTGCTGCCTCAAACTCATCTTCTACTGAGTCCATAATAACCTTGTTGAGACATGGGCACCAAAAGCTTTTTTCTCAATCCCTTATTCAGAACAAGGAAATCCCAGGAGGAAGATCAAGGGGTTATCTGGTTTCATACATGAAGGAAATCTTTTTTTGGGGCATCTACTGCCACCCCATGCTTGACTCCAGAAAAACAACCAGAGCACATTGTCACCTGCAAGCAGGAAGGTTTTATACCAACAGCTTCTCTGTGGATCTCATCTCAGGCCACACATTACCCCTGCTCATGCCACATTTCTTGGTTGGTGGCCAAGCTCAGGGACACAAGGCTGCCTTCTGTTTCTGGAACTGAGCTGCCCACCTCATGTTCACCACGAGTTCCCCCTCTTGGTGTTACAGATGTTTGTTTGGCCATTTGTGCAGTTACATCCTCTTTGCTGCTGCATGTGAGGCAGGAGCCCAGCACCAGCTTCAGAGAAGGGCGTTAGCATTCTTCTCATTAGGGAAGCCACAGTATTCCTCCCCTGTGGCTCCTGGGGTCCTCCCTGTACACAGCACACAGTGATGCTGGTCACTGGTGCTATACTGGGATAGGATAAGCCACTTGTGACTCTGCAGGACCTTCAAAGGATTTGGCTTGAAAAACATGATTGCTGATAGGAGATGTTGAGCATCAACAATATCTTACTGCTCCAAAAGTGCACAGCAGCAGCTCCTGGCCTTCCCCCTTCTCTTGGGGTTCCTCAAGGGGGCTGTGGGGTGAGGACAGCCGGGGCACAGAGAGCACCAGGTGCTTGTGCCAGCGCCTGCAGAAAGAGAGAGCTGGGCCCCAGCTGAGCCCAGCTAAAAATAACCAGGGACTGGGGAGCTCCTGCGCCTCGTCTGGCTCTGGTCCTGCTGCAGCACATTCCTTCTGAAAGTACTGCTTGCCTCCTCCAGCCCTCTTCTCTGCCCCTTGAGATGCCACAGCTGAGTCTCAGAAGGTGGTTCCCTTCCCTCCACGGAGTTTCTTTACCCCATGGCCCTGCTTTTCCTTTCCCCCTTCTCATTTGCCACTTGTCCCTGGGCATCTGCTCCTCCACCCACTGCTCCCAGGGCAGCATGGCAGGACAGAGGGATGAGGGGTGAGTGTTTCCCTGCTCCTGCAGCCAGGATTAGTTTAAAGCTCTCAAACATGAGTCCATCCATGGATAGTTGTAGTTGCAGTTGGGTCTTGGGGTACTTGGGCATGGCCAGAAGATCCAGGTCTACACGAGGCTTCTCTGGGCAGTAATGCAATTACCCAGGAATTGGCTACTTTAACTCTTGCAAGTGCATGATCGGCATTTCACTTTCTTTCATTTTTTTTTTTCCTCCCACAGGAATATAAAATATTGCACAGAGGAACAGCCTGCTTGGAAGTCCCCACACACCACATCTTGCACGTCCAGGTCAGCCCCAATATGGCCAGTATTAATTTTATTATTAATAAAGGGTGACAGCATGCACCTTATGTTTTTGGGATAACAGGGAGAGCTGATGCTGTCCCTTTCCCCAAGCACAGCCAAAAGCTTGAGGGCAGCTTGTGGGTTACTGCCTGTCCCACGCACCACACTCCTGCCATGGCAGAGGTTTTGGTGAGGCATTTAGTGATATTTTTGCACTGGTTGCAAGCAGCAGGGTTGTGACGCTCCCACAGCCACACCAGGGCTTGTTTTGATTTAGCAGCCCTGGTACAGTTAAAATGTAACAACTTTTGTAGGTGTGTATTTCCTAAAACAACAAATAGTCACTTTAAACCTAAACCTGGTTTCTCCCGGATACGAAGAGGTTGAAGAAATCAGCAAGGTTTGTGAGAGCAGCTTTGGAAAGCAATGCAAGTAAGGGGGAATTTTGGCAGGTGGCATTACAGTTAATCACTTCTGCCTGAGAACAGCAACACAACACGTGTTTTAAGCAAAATCTGACGGTGCGATCTATCAGACATGAAGGTGTCATGAAGGTCTGCAGGTCATGAGTAAATTACCTGTTACTATAAATTGCTTTTAAAACCAATGATCAGCTCTAGGGATGATTTATGATTTATTTTAAAAGCAGAAGAATACAGGAAGCTCTCCAGCAACCCAAACACGATCGCAATCCGGCGCTTCCTTTAGATCCGAAGTGTTGATGTCCCAGCGCCGGGGGCGGGGACCGTGCCCAGAAGCCGCCGGACCGTGAGTGCCGCGGCTCAGAGAGCTCTTCAGCAAACGGACACAGAAACGGACACAGTCTGTTTGCACAGCGAAAATCCCTGCGGCGGCAAAAGCGCCACGTAAGAGCAGGCAGTGACCCGTGGGGAATGAGTGCGAGCCCTGCTGCGAGCGGAGAGGCGGGCGCGCATTCCTCGTGTGCCTGCGGGTGCATCTGCGCTGCTGCTGCTGCCGTGTCCGTGTGTCTGCGCACGCCGTGTGTCTGCCCGGCCGGGCGGCTGCATGTGCATCAGCAGAGGCAGCCTGTCCGTGTCCCGTGTCAGTGTCCCAGTCCGTGTCCGTGGGCCCGGCCGTGCCCGCGGGTCCCGCTCCGGACGGGGCTACGCCTCCCTGCGCGGGGCGGGGAGGCGGCAGCGCACCCTCGCCAGCGGGACAGACACACGCACAGACAGACCCACGGAGGGACACACGGACAGCGGCACCGCACACCGCCCCGTGCCGTGCCGTGCCGTGCCGTGCCGCCGCCCCCGGGCAGCTCCGCGGCGCCGCCCCCGCCTCCTCCTCCCGCCGCCGCCGCCGCGGCCGCACAAAAGGCGGCGGGGAGGGCCCGGCCGGGAAGGGCAGCCCGGCCGCCCCGGCCGCCGCACCATGCCCCGCCGAGGGGGGCTGCCGGCCCCCGCCGCCGCCCGCCGGCCCCCCCCGCTCCTCCTCCTGCGCCTCCTCCTCCTGGCCGCCCCGCTGCAGCCCGGCAGAGGTAAGGGCCGCTCGCTCCCGCCGCCCCGGGCCCCGCCAGCGCCGCTCCGGAAGGCGGCTTGGCCCCCAGACCCGCCTCGGTGCGCTCCGTTACCGTCCGTGCGCTGCGCTCCTCTCGCCCCCTTCCCGCTGCCTCCCCCGCCGTGCGCCCGCAGCCGGCGGGACGCGCTCCCCGCTGTCCCCGCTGTCCCCTGCCGGGGCTCTCCGCACATCCCCCCGGCCCCGTCCCGCCTGGCCCCGGCTGCGGGTGGCGGGAGCCGCGCTCCGGCAGCGCTGCGGGGCACGGACCGCATCCGCGGGGTGTTCGCCTTAAAAAGCACGGAACTGCTATTTATACCGCTCGCTCTGTGTGTATTCCTAATGGGAGCGGCTGCAGCCACTTCTGTTCAGGGTGAGCACTTCCCGGGATGTTTGCCTGGTGTGATAACCGATGGATGAGGAGCAGCAGCAGAAAGCCGCACACGGGCTGTGCCCTGCCGGACACCGGGATCCTCGCTCTCACCTTGCATCCTTCCTCACTTGCACCCAGAGAGAGGTCCCTGTCCCTCGTGGGGATGCTCTCAGTTTGCACACGCACACGTGAACTGCAGTGCAGTTTGTAATTCTGTTCCAGCAGTACTGGAAATAGGGTTTCCCCCTCTCTGAGCGTTTGGGGAAACTTTTTTATAGGAAGGGACCCCACAAAATGCCTAAGTCCACCATTCCAGTACTTACTCTAAGTGCTTGATATTTTAATGAGTAATGTTAGGAAGAGGCTCATCTTGCAGAGTGCTGTGGCACATAATTGCAAAAGCTCAGGAGAAGTTTTCCTAATTTTGTTTTTTTTTGTGTGGGCCTGATCCATGAAAGTGATGGTTCAGTATTGTAGCAGACCATCTTGGGTCTCTTAGAATGCTTATTGCAAGCACTGATAAAATGCTCCTTTTTCATGCTTAGCTGTATCAAGTGCATCACTTTTTTTTTTTTAATAATCTGTCTTCCCTAAGCAAGCCAGTACATTCACCTCTGTTTGAGGAGCTGCCCAAACTAGGATTTCTTGCAGAACAGGTTTAAAATGAGGTGTAATTGCCTGGAGCATCTTTATGAGTAAATTTGATGAGTACCTTTCATCAGAGTTTCCTATCTTGCTCTGCATCTCTAGTTTGATGTATCAAAATCTCTGCTGTCTAGTGGGATACACTGTCATCTATTTTTTTGGGCTCTCCTGCAGCTCAGTCCAAGGCAAGGATGTCATTTGGAGATGTTCTTTGTGCTTGCTGGACACTACTGTGCAAAATAAGTAGGGTGCAGGGCTTAGGACTCAGTGGCATCAGTGTGAAGGACTGTATGTGGGCAGTGCAGCTCAGCAATCCAGGGAGTGGATTATTCACCTCCAGAGTAATCCCAGCTAAACCCTGGATGGAATTTTCCCCGTTATAAGAAGTTCAGTTGATTTTTCAGGAGTGGTTTCATTAAATGTGCCACAGTCCAAAGAGCAGACTGAGTTCCTTCCAGCCTCAGTGGGTGACCTGCCCCAGCACCTGCAAGGGTCTGGACTGGCATGAGCATCATCAGGTCCTTCCTCTGCTGGATTTGGGGAATGACTGCACTGGACCAAGCACAGCAAGGATTTGCATCTGGAAAACCCTGCGTGTTTCTAACTCCAACTCAAAAAGCTCAGGTTTCAGTCTAAAATTGGAGGGCTTCACAAAGCTCTGTTTTCACAACAATGCTGGAAATGGTTTAGTGTCGCTGCAGAGTGGAAAGAAAAGCATACTTGGAGACTTCAAAAGCTGCCACCAGGAGGAATGTCACCCCATGGCTGGCCACAGGAGCGTGGGCTGCTTTGGTCATGGCACGCACTGCAAGGAGGAGACTTGGTTTTCATTCAGCTCTTACTGTGACTAAGTAAACTCTCAAAAACCCAGCAGTCAGGAATGGAGGTAAATATTTCCATGCGGATGGGCGAGTGAAGCTGTGGGAGAGCCAGGCCTGGTAGCCAGGGTAGGAATGCAAGTATTTGCTGTATAAAGCCCATTATTTTAGCTGGGTTACCCTGTGCACAGCTGCCAGAGCAGCAGCAGCTCTCAAGGACAGCCTTTGGGCCATGTTGTAGGGTTTGTAAATGCAAGTGTTAATTGCTGTCTAAATTTTAACTCAGCTGAACAAGTTACATTTTGCTTTATGCTACTTATTTATGTTTTGAGCTCTTGTAGTGTCCAGGAGCTGGAATATCACTTCTGAATGCAAAAAAGGAATGAAATGCCTGGGGATGTGGTAACAGCCAGAAGGAAAAAAAAGCCCACACTCTTAAGAAGGCTCTTGTTTGGCATGAATGAGCCCAAGGAGCCTGTTTGAATGAGAGCCATAGAGGGAGTGCAGGGCTTGGCTCTCTGGGGTTAGAGCTAACCACCTTGTGGGCAGCAGAGCCCCGTCAGTGCAGGGCTCTGGCACGGCCAGCCCTCTGCAGGGACTGACAGGACCTGCTTATCCCCTTTTTGTTTTTAGTCCAGAGCATGCCAGGTTTTCCTCCAGCTGTCCAGCTTGATTCACTGCTTCCTGTGCTCACAGCTCGGCCCCTTCTGGAGCGACCCAGGCAGCCACTGCTTTCCATTTCTTGGTGCAGTATTCACATGGGATGCAGCAAAAATTCTTCTTCCAAAACTCTCGTGGCAGGAAGTTCTTGGGTCAGGAGAAAACTTCATGGGACTCTTCAGCAGCTGTTGGCAACTCTGTGGAATCTGCAGATTACACCCAGCAGCAGCAGCGTGGTGCACTAGTTTCTGAAGATGCAACTGGCTGAAAATAGAGGCCTGACAATGCTTTTATTGACATTTGGATTGGAAAAAATAGCAGATTGGGAGTTCAAGCCTGAGGCATATCATTTGGAGTGTGCAGCCTGTGTGCTGAAACCTCGGCTGAAGATTTCTTTAATCATTTATTGACAGTGGAAGTTAATAGCTGCGCCCGGGGGAGCTGGGCCATCAGTGGCGTGGAAGGGCACATTCGTAGCCACAGGCATGCTTGAACAAGCTGCTGCATTCAGAGCCCATACCATTGATGTCTACTTTGGCTTTACTTGTGTGGTTCCACTTCATTTTTAAAGCCCAAAGTGCAAGCTGTGGATTTTGTAAGTGAAACCTGCTCGGGACCCCTTGTGCTGCCAGACAGCAGCAGCCCAGGAGCAAAGAGCATCAGCCTGGCTGGTGCTGGGATCACAGCAGGGAGAGCCCTCGGTGCCCTTCCACCCCTGCTGCCTTGGACATGTCCCAGTGCAAACACACTGCAAGGCTTAACCTGGATATCCTGTGGAAACGTCTCTTGTAATAACATAAAAGTAATGTACTGCAACGTGAGTCCACTGTGAGAATCACCTGTGTGGGAAGGGGACATGAGTATGTTTCAAGAGTAATTTAATATGAAAATTATGGGGAGAGGCCCTCCCCATATATCCAGCTAGAAAAAATGAGAAGATATGCCTAAAGATGTGTCTTTAAAAGTCAGCATCTTGGGCTTTTGGACAGCCAGCTCCACATTTCAGAGTGGTCAAACAGTTATTGCTTTCTGCCCACAGCAATGGGAGTGTTTGATTGGGCATATGAGTAGCTGGACTCTTTGATTAACCAGACACCATGGAGAAGGAGTGAAGAAAAATCACCAGATTTTTTAGAGGTTCTCAGCACCCCAAAGGAAGTTTCTGTCCTTTTCATTTACTTTAGGGAAAGAAAAGAAAAGAAGACCTCCTTACAGGTGAAGAGAGATTTACAGCTTCTCCTGCCTTTTAGGCTCCTGGGAGATTATTTGCTCTTGTTTGAATTTACAGTGTGCTTAGCATTAAGAATGTCTCAGAACCCCCCCAAGCCCTATTTTGGAGTGGAATAACCATTCAGCCCATGTTCTCTCTTGCTGCAGGTCTCAATCTGTGCACCAGTGGAAGCGCCACGTCCTGTGAAGAGTGTCTCCTCATCCATCCCAAGTGTGCCTGGTGCTCCAAGGAGGTAGGTGGGCACACCTTGTTTGACTTTCATGGTTTTTGTGGTGCTGGAAGGGAGCTCTTTTCCCACCTTGCCTATTCCTGACTTGCCACAAGGGTTGAGTGAGGGCAGAGGATGCTCCATGCCGAGTGTATTTCGGGTGTGTGGGACTCCTCAGCTCTTTGACATCATAGGAAATAAGTCTCTGACCCCACATTGACCCCCACACACCCTCACAGAGCAGCACTGTTCCCTCAGTCCTTCTCAGTCCTTCTGCCCCTTCAATTACCTTCTTGTTTCCGGTGGATGCTGGGTCCCTGCATGGGCTCTGTGTTTCAGGGAGCCTTGCTCCAAAGCTCTCTCCCCAGAAAGCCCCAAGCCCCTGGCTGGTGTCCTGCTACGTGTCCCCTGTCGTGTGGCCTGGCATGGGCTCTTTGTCTGTAACAAAGATAATTCTCCTTTCTGAATCTATTGTGTCATTTTGGGGACTGGCCCATGCTTCTGGCATGGTGCCAAGAGTTTCACAGAGTAACTGAGCACTTCAGAGGGAAAATACATCCTTGTGCTGATGCTGAAGCTGCTCACCCATAATTCAGCTGCACCTCCTGGTTTGTGAGCAATTGCAAATACTGCCCCCTGCTCCCTAGGGGCTGCTCATGAGTTTAGGTCTAAATACATAATCCAGTATATGTCTTATCAAGCAGACTTACAATTTCTAGAGAAAATGATGTGTGAAAGCCCTAATAATGTTTGATGCATAGAAAGCCATTGTCTGCTTAGTGCCTGTCCTGGATGTTCAGGAGAGAAGTTTGGATGCTTTCAGATGCATGGAAAAAATCTGAGAAACAGGCTGGCACAGCTGCTGTGTCAGGAACCACTTTTGGGATGGGAGAACGCCAGGGCAGTAGGTGATCTTGAACCTCTGGATGGGCATGGCCAGTGGTGATGCTGTTCTGTTCCCTGCTGGCCCTTATTCCTCTAGTGTGGCCATCCCTGTCCCCTCCTGGGCACTCACCTCACCTGGTGCTGCTGAGCTGAGGATGCAGGCTCTGTCCCCTCTGCTGTTCCCCTCCCTGCCTGGGGCAGCTGCCAGCTCTGGGGCAGAGGATGGGTGGGGATGGAGGTGGATGTGGGTGAAGGTGGCTTCCAGTCCCTGTGGTTTGGGTCCCGGGGGGTGCCCCAGGCACTGTGTGTGTTTCAGTGGATGTTTCACTGCCAAGCACAGCTGCAGCTCTGCAGGGAAAGCCCTGTAATGCTGCAAACACCAAACAGTGTCACAGCTTTCCTGGGCTGTTTGTTCCAGCCAGGCAATTGGTGTGCAGAAGGGAAAGGGTAAAGCAATAGATCTTGCTTCTGAGACATCTTGTAAACAGCTGTAAGAGCTCCTCTTCCAGCCAGCTAATCTGTGGTGGTGAGATTGGATCCAGGAACGCTGGCTATTAAGCTATGGGTACCCAATGGAACTGTGCTTTTTTGGGTTTTTTTTTTTTCCGTACTTGGCATTGAAAGGCAACTTTCTGCAGAATTCTGCTAGTGGAAATGTTTATCTGGTGGTCACTGTGACCACTAATTGTACTAATGGGACTGACAGTCTGACTCTTATCATGCAAACAGGATAGTTACTGATAAAAAAAGAAAATTCCTGACTGGAATGGAGGGGCCAAGGAGGAAGATGGGTGTTTACAGGGAAGTCCTGTAATACTTCCTGACCTTTAGCCTGCAGAAGCTATTTAAAAATACACAGTTCAAGGTGTTTTGTGCCAAGAGCTATGTGTTCAAAAGCTGCTGTTCCCATTACATGCTACATGCTTAAACTTAGCAAGTTTGAATTTACAGTTACAAGTTTGAACTTAGCAAGTTCTTACCCTAATTTTGTATTTTTTTGTATATATTTTTTTAGAATGTACTCTTTGAAACGAATTATTTCTCTTTAGCTGAGATCATCAGGTGAGGTAATGGGATTTCCAAGATACCTGGAGTTTTTCAACTTCAGAAAGTTTTAAAGTAATATTATAAACTCTATAATATCCGCCTTCGTTTCATAGTAATTTCACCACCTTATTCCCCTTCCCTCTGCTGCAGCCTAGTCAGGTTTATTAAATTTATTAGATAACTCTTAATGTGTTTTCCTTAGCTCTTTCCATTGGCTGCAATTTGCTATCTGTGTTTCCTGGATGCATATATGCCAGTCAAATTTTATAGGTCTGCTGCTCTTTAAATATCAGGGGTAAGATATTGGAGTGTGTTCCACAGATTGCAGCTGTGCTGTGCTAGAACCTCAGTCAGCTGATTTGTGTGTATTTGGTGCTTCCTTTGCATTTGCTTTACTGGTTTGTGAGCAAATTGGGCCAGCTTTTATCGCCTTTGCAAGCAACAATTAATAATTTTGTCAGGAAATATAGATAGTAGAAGTCAATCAGTACATGTATAATTCTATATATAATGTATACAGTATGTTTAGAGATGTCTGTAATACAGTTTATATATATATATATAAATTATATATAATATATAAATAATATATATAATATATATAATATATATAAATATATATAATATACATTGTGTATAATATATTTATTTATATTTATAGCTATATTTATAACTGCATTGTATAGTTACATGTAAGTTGATCTTCCTGTATATGTACACCTCCTTGTATTTCCTTTGGGGAAATATTTGGTGAATATCACTTGGTGGTACCATCATACCAGATTCTTTGGGAGCTCTATCCCAGTAGTTTCTCAGGAGGAATAAGGTTTCCTGAATTTACATTGCCCCGAATTGTGAGGACAGTGTACATCTTACAGCAGAGTAGGCAAGGTGCTCTCACTTTATGACTGCCAGCTCCTAACCTGTTGGTACAGGGTGCATCTCATCCCCTGCCTTGGTTGGACTTCTTTCCACTCCTGCTTGTGCTCAGCATCCCTGTTCCCATCCAAAGGGGTGATGATGGATGAGCTGAGGACAGCAGCTTCTGCTGTGCAGCAGCCCTAGATCCTCCAGGGGCTGCTGAGCTAACCACATGTCTCTGGGCTCTTGGAAATTTGGGAGCAGACATCGATTCTGCTGGCTTGTGGAAGAATACCTTGGAAGGCAGGCCTCAAGGGTGGTGATTTCAGTGGTACTTAGAAGAGGAGGTGTGAATATGTGGCCCTAAGCATCACCTGAGCATGCCTTGAAGCAGGGCTCTCTGAGGGAGGATGACTCCTGGTGTGTGGAGGCTGCTGCAGCCTGTCCATCCACGCTGGAAATGAGGAATTGCAGGGTCTAGGAGAGGCTGGAAATGATGAGAAATTGCTGACGTGGTGCTGGTGAAATATTCTGACTGGAAGCTGCACGCTGGCCTGTGGGGTTGCTGTATCTCTGTGGCAGCCTGGTTTCCAGAGGATGCTTGTGGAATTTTTTGCAGCGGCACCTGGTTCCCCAGGCTGAGCAGGATTTTCTGGGTTTGCTGGGGAGAACAGGGAGCTCAGGAAGTGGCTTCAGTGCTGTCCTCTGAGCTGCCAGGGCAGGTGTGATAGAAAGGTGGAGGTTTTAATTGTGATAAACCTTCCTGTGATAAACCTGTTTTATTGCAGGGGGCTGCAAAAAAAAAAAAAGCATTTGGGAGTACCAGTATGGGGGGGAAATGTCACCATTACATTTTCTTTTTTGCTGCTTTTGAGAGCAATGTGCCAGTGTGCAGAGGCTCCCCTTGTTTGTTAGACAAGGTGGATGAGCTGTGTTCATCTGTCCATTACCTGTGTGGAGCATTTATGTGTGTACCTGGAAACCAGAGATGCACATTAATTAAACTGAAATATCCTTTTTGAGTAAGTGAACTGAAATTTCCCCAGTGGCACCCTCTGGTGCTTTTACCCCATCCTCTTCCATCTCAGAAATGTATGCCTAGAGAATGAGGAAAGAAAATCAAGGATGTTCCTAAAGGGAGCATGTCAGGTTTTTGTTTGTTTTGTTTTTTTTGTTTAATGGAGAAAGCAGGCATGTTTCAGATGGAATTAATGCAGAACTGGATTGATTAAAGTAAAAAATGATTGAGATCTTCATCAAAAAGAACAGGATGGGCTGAATTATAGGGACATGCCTAGTCAGGAATTAGGTATTAGATACAGTGAGTGCTATTCTCCATTTTTATAGCATGAACAGAGCAATTTGTCTTAAAACTGTCAAACTGATGAGCATGTAATTGTCCCACTGTTGTCTCCATTCATCCCGTCTGCCTGTGTGCATTCCCCTTTGTGAGCTTCTGAGCACCGACCAGGGGGGCTGGAGCAGCCAGAGTGACTGACAGGGGCTGGGGATCCATCTTGCAGAGTGCTTCCAGAGTGGAGCTGGGTACTGGGAGAGCAGGAGAGCATCTCCCCCTGCTGCTTGGTGGATAGGCCCAGGGGAGCACCTGGACCCCACCAGGTCCTTGCTGATTCCAGGTAAAACCACATCTGGGCAAAACTCTTCTCTAAGGCTGCCTGAAATGTGCTGCTCTGAAAGGCTGGGCGTTGTTTTCAGTTTCGTGAGGGATTCTGATTTTTATTTTGTCATGCTGGAGATGATTTAAATAGTCCCAGTCCTCCTTTTTTGGAAGTTCATCTGTTTACACGGCGCGTTCCAAGAAATTTGTGTTCGCATCCATCTGATGCGCCGTCGTCGGTTTCTTGGCTGGAGCCTGCTGCTGGATGCTGGAATGCAAACCTCTCATTTTTCAAATAGCATTGGGACCTTGCAGTGAGAAAAATGCAGCTGGAAGCCTCTGTCTGTGTCCCAGGGCCCTGTATCCAGGCTTGTCCTTGAGGGACCCCTGGAGATCACCCCACAAGGATCTGTCAGGAGCCTCTCCCTCCTTGATGTCTCTCCAGTCCTCTGCCATGCTGGAGTTTCAGCAATAAGTGAGGTTTATTCAGCCCCACACTGGTTTTGGCTGAGCAGCTGAAGGAGGGGCTGGCATGGCTGCAAGCATCTTCTCTGCATTATTTCATGTCATTTTAGTCCCTCAGCCCTGGAGCTGAAGAGTGTTGTCTCTATTGTTGTAGTGCAGAAGTAAGTAGGAATCGACTGTTGAAAACCCAGTAAGTTTTGGGCATGTGACTTGTTCCCTTTGGCACTTTTAGGGAGAAAAAAAAAGGCATTCTAACAAACAGGCTGTTGCAAATGGGTGCATTGTGTTCCCGGCTGTTCCTGAGCGCTGCCCTGCACAAGGCTGCTTTGTGCACCACGCACGGGGCTCGCAGCAAGGGCTGCAGCTCTGGGATGGGTGTTGGGAGGCTCCTGCCCATCCTTTGGGAGGGGGCCTCTGCCTGCACCTTGCTGCCTGTGCCTGACTGTCTGTGGTGGGCACAGTCTGCATTTTCACCAGCTCCTGGGAAGTTTCTCCCACCTCCCTTATTCCCCATACAGTGCTTGTGTAAGGATGTGTCTCCCCCAGGGAAGAGAGAGCCACCCAGCCTGTCTTCAGCTTCACATCTTTACTTGGCCCTCTCTGGGTTGGTGGGTTGGTCCTGCTTCCCTCAGTGCCACCTCCTTGTCCTTTCTTCTGTCTTTTGCAAAGCTCCTTTGAGACGGTGCATGTGCATAAAACAATAGGGATGGCCATGGGCTGTCCCTGCAGCAAACCAAGTGCTTTGCCTTGCTCTCTTGTGGCCAGGGCTGGGAACAGGTGCTGCTGCTGTGGCCAGGGCTGACACCACAAGCTTAGGTTTCTGTTTCAGAGCTCTGTGAGCAAACTCAGTGTTCAAATCCTCACAGAACTTCCTTTTTTGGTTGATCCTTTTGAAAGGCTCAAGGCTCAGTGCGGGCTCCTTCCAAGAACAGTCACCACAAAGGTGACTTCCTTTGACCTCAGCTTCTCCTTGTCATCACCTGGTTGTTAGATACCAGCATGTCAAAACAAAGCCCCTGCTGTGGGATTGATGCATTCCCCTCCAGTTCCTTTTTGTCCCTCTTCTCCCCCCAGGATTTCAGCAGCACGAAGTCCATCACGTCCCGGTGTGACTTCCTGCAGAACCTGCTTGCGAACGGCTGCGCCGGAGCCATCGAGAGCCCCAGCAGCAGCATCAGCGTGCTGAGGAACGTGCCCCTGAGCAGCAAGGGCTCTGGCCAGAGCCACCTGGACGTCACACAGATCACTCCTCAGAAGGTGGCCTTGAGTCTTCGCCCTGGTGAGTCCCCAGCAGCTCCATGGGGTGTGAGGGGAGGGAGAGAGGGTGTGATGGTGTTCACAGGGGTTTTTGGATGATGGAAGAGATGAGGATCTGACTCCATGTTTCAGAAGGCTTTATTTATTATTTTATGATATATATTACATTAAAACTATTCTAAAAGAATAGAAGAAAGGATTTCATCAGAAGGCTAGCTAAGAATAGAATAAGAAGGAATGATAACAAAGGCTTGTGGCTCGGACTCTCTGTCTCTTTCTAATTGGGCATTAATTAGAAACAACCAACATGGGCCAATCACAGATCCACCTGTTGCATTCCACAGCAGCAGATAATCATTGTTTACATTTTGTTCCTGAGGCCTTTCAGCTTCTCAGGGGGAAAAATCCTAAGGAAAGGATTTTTCATAAAAGATGTCTGTGACAGGAAGAATGGCCAGGATGTGCCAAGAGCACGTTGTAGCTTGTGGCCTTGTAGCCCACTAAAGCAGGTGCCTGCTGGCCCCTTCCATACCTTTGAGCTTTGCTGGTGAGTCACAAACAGGTTTGGGGCTGGGGCACGTTCCCTCCATGAGAGGACACTGCTGTTGGGCAAAGTCAGTCAAAGCCCACCCACAACTGCTACCAGAAATGGCTTTAACACCTGCATGTGTCTAGGAGGAACCTGCTCCACTTCAAAATGGAATCACAGTGTGGAAGGAGTTAAAATAACTTTGGTTCCTCCGCTAAGCTGACAGGGCATGACTCTAAACTGAGACAGATCCTTCTATAAATTGGAAACAAACCCACATATCTGTTTTCTGTCAGTATGCAAAAGAGCTATGGGATCAAGGCAGAAGATGGAGATTTGAACTTGTGACTCAGGCCTTGGACTGCAGCCAGGTCCCTCTTTCATTCTCCTGAGCCATCACTTTTCTTCAATCTCTTCCTTTTAATTAAAAATTAGAAGGGAACAGCTCATCTGAGCTATGCAAGCATGCTTGTTATCAAAAGTTTTTGCATGGTGGGGGGAGGCTTTAATGTGGGTTTAGAATTCTTGAAAAAATTTGGCAGCTGACATTTCTAAAGAGGGAAAAAAGCTCTTTATTGCAAAGATAAGAAGCAAATATAAAAGCTTGATTCATTATAAGCTATTGGTGTGGGTTTCTTAGGCTTACAGTTTTGTGACAGCTCTCATGAGCATACAGAAAAGAGAAATATTGATGTTTTACTAAAGAAAAACAGGGGTTTGAGCTGGTGCTTATGCTATTAGTGCTCTCCCAGAGCCTACCAGCTGTTACAGGAGTTTTTGTTTTAGCTGTGTAAGTTAGAAATTGTCATGTTTTTCAATTAACTTCCTCAGCTGTCATTGTCAGACCCTCAAATCTAAAAAAAATTGCTTCAAAGCCTTAAAATCAGATCCCTGAGAGCAGTCACTGCTGTTCATACATATGGATGCATGGCTTCTGCCACTGAATGTTGTGTTAAAAAAGGGAGCAAAAGGAAATTGTTATTACTGCTGTTTCTTGAGGCAATTCCTGAAGAAAGGGCTGCTTCAGCTAATGCGTCTCATCTCCTGTGCATCCTCCCCATGCAGTGCCCGGTGCTCAGCAAATTCTGCTTTGCCAGTCCCCAGCAGTTTTGCCCATCCAGTGTCCACTGCCCCAGTCAGTGCCAGGGTGTGGGGATCCATCTCCTGGGGTCTGGCTTTTGGAAGCCTTGGGCTGCACAGGGCTGGTGTGCTGCTTCTGCCCACCCTTGTGGGGACCCCACTCACGGCCACGCTCAGTTCTCTGCGGTGAGAAGCCCTCCAGGTCTGGGCTGAGCTGCAGGAACCACCCTGAGGATCCCCACAGCAATTCCCACTCTGAGCCAGTGGACTCCTCTCCCTGTGCTGCTCTTGCTGAGCATCAAGGTCATTGCAGGAGGAGGGACAAACCTCGATGTTTGTGATAGTATCTCCCATTCTTCTTCTCCTTTTGATGTTGGGCAACACTTCACCTTCAAGCTGATGACTTCCTAAACCCTTGCATCAGCAGGGCCAGTTTAAATTATCCATTAATCCTTGAGTTTGGGAAAACAGGTTTCACCCTGTGAACCCAAGACAAAAAGGAGACAACGTTGATTTAATTTTGGGCATGAGGGTGTCCTGCTTCAGAGACGAATTTACGTGGTGGCAGTCTGTGGCAATGGTGATCCTTTATTCTTAGACCACTAAGCAGAAGCAGAAGGGAGTGGATTGTCAATTGTTTGCTGTTCCCACCCAGGCAGTTTGATCTCATCATCCTGTGGCAGAAGTCACATCCCCAAATCTGTGTCCTCAGCTAAACTCCAAAGGCCTTAAATTGATGTTCTTACAGAGCAGCTTTTGGATTGAGCATTTAGTTTTTATAATATTGCATTTTAATCTGGAGCCCAGCTATAAAGCAGCGTGTCCTAGTTAAAAGAAATAGTAATAGTGTAAACAGACTTAAAAATGAATAGATGCAGCTGTGTTGCTCATCAAGCCATAAGCCTCACCAAGCAGGAATAAGCTGGATAAGCATGATTGTTGAGTTTATGTTCTTAAATTGACCAAAATCAATTTTTCCAATTTTTGTGCTGCTTCTGCATGATGGTATCCAAGAAAAATTTCAGAATTAAGCTCTGGGTTTACAACTTTTCAGTAAAAGCCCTAAGGAGAGGATGGTGGCAACAGTATGTGAGGAAGGAGGGGGCTGGATTATCCCTAGAAGTAATACTGTCCATAGAGAATAGTAAATTCTTTTGCACTTACATACATTAGCAATATTTTCTCTGACATAATTGGTTTGTGCAGTTAGGAATGAAAGAAGAACCAGCCACAGGATCCTGTTGGTTTTGGTGCTTCTCAGGGACTAATAAATTCGTAACTATTAAGAGAAGCACGTTTGATCACAGCATCCCAAATACCCTTTCTGGCAGGAAGAGCAGTACTTTGGAAATGAAAACATTGCAAAATACAGAGGACACATCCCCTTTTTGAGTGGGAAGAATATGTAGGAATTAAAAATATGGGCATGGGAAGGAACTTTCCCAGATATAAACACATTTTTGCAGCAGTGAATTAAAGTCAAGCTTGCAATCACAGTGTTTTACCTTGCAATCAGTGCTAACAGTTTTTGTGCGATGTGAATTGTGTTGTTCTTTGTTCCCCCACAAAATGCATGCCAGGGTTAATGTGAGGCCCACCTGGAGCACCTGCTGCACTCCACATCCCTGCCCTGTGCCCTGTCCTGCTCCTGCTGGACAAGAAAGATTGGGAAGTAAGGAGGAAGGAGGAATGTTTAAGGCATGAGTTTATTGCTTTGTATAGCTGGGCACTATCTACATGTGGTGTTTGCACATGGTGCCTCCTGCAGCCCTGCCTTTCCCAGGTGGGGCTGCAGCAGATGGCAGGGAAATGCTGAAGGAGAAGGAGGGCGTTGTTTGAGGAGATTTGGCTTGGTGCAGCCTGACCCCAGAGCCCCTTGTGCTGTGCATTGCCAGCATGGCAATTTTGGGATGCTGTTGCTGCTGTTGGGCTGGAAGTAAGTGGGAGCAGCTGTGCTGCTGTGCACAAGGAGGAGAACAATAAAGCAGTTAGGGAAATGTTTTCACAATACTAAAAAATGTGAGTTCCCTTTCTGGGGAAGAAGAGGGGAAGCCACAAGTGTTTTGCAGAACCTGCCACTGCCCCAAGTTCAGCCTTGCCCTTGAAGAGCTGGGAGAAGGCAGAACTGGGAGCTTGGTTTCAAAATGATCCAATTCCCTGGGGCTGAGACCCCAGTGAACTGGAAAAGGGGCGAATTTGGAAGCTGGGAGCATGGGATCTCCAAAGCCTGGCTTGTGAGGTTGGGGTTTGTGGATTTTTTTAGACCCCTTCCTTAGCAAAGTGAAAGGCAAGCTTTTGCCACCTTCTGTCTGCCTCCACCAAGGTCCATCTGTGTGAAGCTGAGTTCACTTTGGAGCCACCTCAGCTTTTCTGAGGAGTAGGTGTTGCCTGTGGTGGCCTTCCCTGGCACCCCTTCCAGAGGGTATCTCTGAAAACCAGTGGCAAAGGAGAAGGTCAGGGGCAGGCTTTCCTCTCTTCACATCTGCACACCCTGTGACTCAGCCCTGTCAGCTCCTCTCCTTGTGCTCATCACTTCAGGAGGTTTCACCTCTGCCTCAGCACTTCCCTGGGTGACCCTAACAATTTTCTTTTCCACTTCCCTTTTGCTCTGATTTCTCCAGCTCCATTTCTGGGGGGAGCTCCTTTTCAAAGGTGTTTCTTCTGTTTCTGCTTCACCTTGACTTCCCTGCACAGCTCAGAGTACATCTTGCATTCACTTCATGCTGGCTATTTTTTTCTGATCCTCTTCCTTTCCCTGCTCTGCCTCCTCCTCTCTTTTGCAGGACTTCTTGGACTGCTCCTGGTTTTCTTTGAGAATGTACTCAAGTAAGTGTGGGCAGGGTTCCTGGTGCAGTAGTCCATGAAACATCCATTTAAGGTTCACTCTGCTTTTCTTTCCTGTTTTCTAAGGAAACATCCCTGGACTGCACACAGGGCAAAAGTGTTTTTCATGTGTCCCTCCCTTAGATGTTTTCTCAGATGAGATGGAAAGACCCTCTCTGATACCTCCAAAGAGCTAAAATAGAGACATGCACTCCATGTCTTTTTCTTGCCAGCCAACATCCTACATAGCTTAAGAGGACCCAAAGTCAATACCTGTTTTCCTGTTAGTCTCCTGAGGGATGTATTTGGAAAAGCTTATTGCCTTCACCCTCTTCTTTCGAAAAGTGATCTCTCTGCTCTGCAGAGGGAGAAATAAAAGTGTTGATCTGGATTTTTGTGTGTGCTGGGAGTTTGCTGCTCACCGTGCCCGCCGTTTGTGTGTGTGCAGGTGACCGGACCTCGTTCCGAGTGCAGGTGAGGCAGGTGGAGGATTACCCCGTGGACCTCTACTACCTGATGGACCTGTCCCTGTCCATGAACGATGACCTGGACAACATCCGCAACCTGGGCACCAAGCTGGCTGAGGAGATGAGGAAGCTCACCAGCAACTTCCGTCTGGGCTTTGGCTCCTTCGTGGACAAAAACATTTCTCCTTTCTCCTACACGGCGCCAAGATACCAAAACAATCCCTGCATTGGGTGAGTGCTGGCTCCACCTGGAGGGGCAGGGTCTGTGCTTGCACTCTTCATGTGCCTTTTTGCTGTAAATAATGAACCACACTTCAGCCCTGGCTTTTGGGAATGATGATGATGAGCCTGACTGTCACTGTGATGCTTGAGCAATTCAAGATAGGACAGCTTCTAATTTTGCTGTGGCTGTGGGGGGATCTCTGCATCTAGACATGGGAAACTGTTGTACCAGGGAGCCTGAAGCTGTTTTTAAGTACCTGAAAAGGATGCAGACATAGCAGGCTTTTTTAAAGCCTTTAAGGAAAAGGAGCCAGAGCCAGAAATTCCTGATTTCTGATCCTACCTCTGAGTCATAGTTTGGCGTTGAGTAAATCAATTAAGCTTTTTGTCTGCATTTTACAGATAAGGAGACCAAGGCAATGTAACTTCTTCTCAACAAAAGTGTTTGGAGGAACTGAGATTTGCTATGGCCTATAGTGCTGATTAATGAGTTTTTGTAGAGTGTTTTTATGGCTGCAGGAGGGTTTTTTCATCTTTATTGCTGTGGAAGGAAAGCAAACTGGTAGTTACAAAAGACACAAATGATGTGGTTTACTTTGTGGTGATATCAGAGCCTTCATCCCTTTATTTCCTTTTTTTTTTTTTGCTTGTGTCTTTGCAAGTGTCTTTTTGTTTGCCTTTTAACCACCAGAGCTGGGATCAAGTCCATTGAATTGAGGATTATGCTGGAGTGAAATTGGGTGTAGGGAAGGGTGTCCAGGCTCAGATGGGTTTGGGTGTTGGCACTGAAGGATGGATACAGCAGCAAGTGCCCTCCTGGGAGAGTGTCACCACTGACACCTTTGTATTCCCCATCTTCACCTCATCCATCAGTGAGTGCTTCCTAGTCATGTAAGGGCAGCGAGGAGAACCCTTTCATTTGAGCCATTTGTGGATACTTACATTGTAAGATCACCTCATGCATGGATGCCAAGCTCTGTGCATGCTCTGAGAGGCAGATAAAGACAGCTTGCATCAGCTCTGAGTTTCTAGGCCAGCTTTTGGCTCTGACTAAGCATTGGCAGCTCACTGCACATTGCTTGTTGACCAGACAAAAATTGTCTGTATTCACTTTTCACCAGTTCTGTCCAAAGTGGAAACTCAAATGGATTTTAACACTGAAAACTCTTGCTTTAATCCTGAAGCAAAAATGGCCACACTGAGCCAGGAAGGTGTCTCTGCCACAATAGCATTGCACACCACACTCTTCATAGTGCTTCTCCGAGAAATTTGGCATAGCCTCCGAGGGGTCCTCTGTCATCTCTGTCCTCTCAGTCTCTGCCACCTGCCCTCAGGCTCCAGCTGGAGAAATCTTGGAAACTTTGTTTGGCTGGTGTGTGATTTAATTGGTGTGACATGGCTTTTGCTGAGTGAAACATGCAGGAGGGGATGGGTGCAGAAGGAAGAGAGGATGGACAACTCAGCAACAAAGGTGTACCTGAAATTTCCAATGATTTTTTATCAAGAACATCCAGAGCTGTCACCTCAGTTTTTCCCACCATGATCAGGCTATCTGTGTGTTCCTTTGGCTTTACCCAGGTGGTTGCTTTTCTTTCTGTGGGTTACTTTAAGCCAGCCTGGTCTTAGGAAAACATTTAGGAAGGATTCCCCATGGCAGCTCATCTGATAGTGCTCCCTTCTGGTTGCTGTGTGTCTCCATCCAAACCAGGGGTGCTGGCTCCCTGCTCTCTGATGGACTCTCCTTCCCCGGCCTGCTCTGTGTGGGGGCTCTGGCTGCTGCCACGTGTCCCTGGGGCAGCAGGGTGGGCTGTCAGGCCTGGTTTTGCTTGCAGCTATTTCTGGTGTAAAAACAAATGGTTCAGCATCTAAGAAAAGCTGCAAGTAAGCTTGAGCTGCAGTGGGTGGGTGCTTTTTGCCCCTGGTCCAGGCTCTCCCCTCCTCTGCCTTGTGGTGTGGGTGGGGTGCAGCCCTGTTTTCCTTGTCTCCCTCATCACCCCTGCTCCTGACTCAGCATCCTGGTGGGCCTGAGGGCAGCTTGCTGAGACCCTGCAGTGAGAGGTTTCAGGCATGGCAGACTCCTTGCCTTGCCCTGGGCACGAGCGCAATGCAAATCTGGATGTGGATCATGGATCAAAAGGGATGGCTGTAATTGCCAGCCAAGCCCAGGGCAATGAGACCTACCCCACAGTTAGGGGGTGGGTGTGTGTGTGTGTATGGAAATCCCTGCTTTGGGATCCCTTGTGAGGAATTTAAGTTCTCAGTGCTGGTAAATTTAAAATACTCCTTTGTGTAAAAAGCCTCTTGCAAATTACCCATAGTGGGTCATGTGTCAGCAGAAGCTTTTAATTGTACTCTGGGTTATATGTTTGAAGATAAGAGTGAATTAGTGCCACGCCAACTCCTTTTTAAACACATTTCTTCTTAACCCTTCCCGTCCCTCTCTCCTGCACACACTCACTGATTTCCCATGCCACAGGAGCTGCTCTGCTGAGCTTTCCAGGTGAGCACCAAAACTGCCTTCTCATGGTTTTGTATGGGAAAAAAGGGTTCCTGGTAGCCTGCCAAGACATTTCTCTGCCTTAGGGTGCCCCTCCCACCCTTCTGCTCTGGTGGGAAGCAGAGATTGTGTTTGCTCACCAGCTTGCAGGGAGAGTGGGAGGAAGCTTGAGCTGGTGTTGGTTATTACTCCATCTCATACTGGGCAATTGCCAGGTGCCTGGTGATGTGCAGTAGGTGTAGGGTGGTTCATACTGGCAAGAAAACTGGATGGCACAGTGAAAGTCTGTACTGCAGAAGAGGGGAGAGCTAGTTCTTGGCAGTGATGCCCCTGCCCTTTGACACAGCCCACAGGCTCTGCAGGTGTGGGACACGGCTCCCTTGGCCCTCCTGGGCTGCTGGGGAGTGTGGATCTGCCAAAATGCAGCCTCCCTATCACTGGGTCACATCCTTGGCTGCAGGTTCCCAGTGAAAACCACTTTGAGTGCAGAAAGGGCAGACCTGCATGGCCCAGGGTGGGCTGGTGCTCAGTGTCTCCACTCACATGGTATGTGGAGAGAGATGTTCAGTCCTGGTGGGATCTCTGGAAACTTCATCTTCTGAAAGCCCTTGAGAGGAAAAAAAATGCGGGCTCTACTGCAGGGTTTTGTAGAGAAACAGCCAGAAGATGAAGTGCCCAAAATACAAAGCACTGTGAAAGTATTCCAGCCCTCTGAGCAAAACCTTAGAGACCAGCCTGGTAGAGCTGGGAGCTTCTGCAGTCCTCGGCTGTGGGTGTGGTTCCTCCCAGCTGACCACTCCTCTGTTCTTCCCACAGTTACAAGCTGTTCTCCAGCTGTGTCCCCTCCTTTGGCTTCCGCCACCTGCTGTCCCTGACGGACAAAGTGGACCGTTTCAACGAGGAGGTCCGCAAACAGAAAGTGTCCCGCAACCGAGACGCTCCCGAGGGCGGCTTCGATGCCATTCTGCAGGCTGCTGTCTGCAAGGTGAGCTGCTCTCCTTTCTGGAGGTTTTGTCTGCTCTATTGTTGAACCAATGGCAAAGTTTGCCATTTCGTGGAAGGAACTACTAATTTTTTCTTGGAGAAACTGAAAATTGCTTTTAAAAGTAGAGGCTTTTGTTTTTATGTGCTTCCGTAGATAAACAGGCATGGGGGAAAAGGTTAATTCTTTTTCTAGTTTAAAGGGATAAAAATAGAGCTTTTGGAAGCACAAATTTAGGGCTGAGATTTCATTACACAGTTAGACCTTTGGTGCAGAGCACCTGGGGCAGAATCCTTCCAGAGTCATATACACTTGTGTGCAACAGTACTGCACATCAGCTCAATGTGTTTAAAAAGGGTGCATCAAACACATCTTGCAGCAGTAGACCCATGTTGAGGGTTGGAGCTGGTTCCTACTGCTCATACCTTCCCTCTTTGTGTGTGGGGGGATGATCTCACCTCTGGGTGCTGATAGCCTTCTCTCCCTCTTTGTCAGCAGAACTGGAGCAGAGTTCATTAGATTGGCGCCACGTTAGCCATGTCCTTAGGGTTTTTGGAGATGCTTGCTTGGAGGTCTTTCTGGAACAAGTAGTTGGGTTGCTCCATATCCCTTTGTCATGAATGAAAGTGTTTGCTCCACTCTGACATGAGCCTGAGCTTCCCTGCTCATCAGGACTGGTTCTATTTGCTTTTCCCCCTATTGCTGCAATTTGCTTTGAGTTTGCTTCAGCCTTGCTTAGTCCTTTTGGTAGGGCATGTTTTCTGGGTCTGAATTATGGGAGCTGGGAGATAGAAAAAGACAGAAATGGTCTGTGGGAGTGATGGATTGCAGGCATGTGGGAAGCCAGATCTCTCCTTGCCTGGGTTGGCTTTGCTGTGCTTCATGGTCTTGGCAGGACTGAACCTGCCCCACTAGGGCATCTTCCCACAGATATTGTTGTTGGCACAGCTACAGTGCTGCTCCCAGTAACTGTATGGATATAAAGTGCTTCTCAGTTTTGGAGAGATGGCTCCCATGGTTAGAGCAGGGATGGCTCAGGATGGTGACTCAGTTGTGCCATTCAGTATGTGGGTTTTTGCACTCCCTTCCATGAAATTACTGCAAAAACAGGCAAATATTTCCCTATGGCGCAGCAATACTTCAGTGTGTATCACAAGGGCATATTTCTGAAGTGCTGGTGGAAGGCAGGAGACCTGCAAGATATTTCCTCTGAATTTGTGGCAGTCTCAGATTGTTGTTAAGAACCAAAATCTTTAACTGTCCTTCTTGAATGCACAGCCTGCTCCCTTCTAAATTTAGAAGATGAATTTAGATGCTGGTACCATCTAAGTTCAGGAATGAGCGCCCTCAAGGAAGGGTGAGCAAAGGTGAGCATGTGTGCATGCGTGACTGTTGGCATGATGTGGCAGGTCATGACAGCAAATTTCTGCAGCCACAGCAGTTAATTAATTACTGGAGCTTGGGTGTGGGAAAGGAAGTCCATGGGCCTGGTGAGCAAGGCAGGAGAACTGGCTGTGCCATGACTCATGCTGCATTGGCACTGCCTTGCTCTGGGCAGAGCAGCTGCCTCTCATCACAGCCATGAGCAGCAAAGATTCTGTCTGACCAGAGTTAAAAAAGGCAAAATTTCAAGGCAGCTGATTGACATTAGGATGTTTGGTGCCATAGTCAAAATGGGAACTTATTGCTTAATTTCCCTTGTGGGCCAAGCCCTGGGCCAAGCAAAGGCCCAGACTGGTCAGTGGCTGTGGGCTGTGGTGAGACTCACACCACTGAGATGGGTGAGGGTTGCAGACATTTGGGGTGGCAGAGAAGTGCAGCTTGCTGACAAGGATGTTCTTGGCATGGAGTTTGTCATCCTGCAGTGACTAATGGAGTATCATGGGGATGAAAACCCCAGAAATAGACAGTAATTTCTGTTAACTCAGGACCTATTCTCCCTCCCATGCAAGGAGAGCAGCGTACAGGTACCTTGGTGACTTCTGAGGCGGGTTTCCTCGTCACTGCTGTGGCACCCCATTGCATCTCACTGTCATGCTCCAGCTTTTTCCAGGGTGATTATCACCTTAGAAAGTCCCCTGCCTTGGGGACATGCAGCGTGTTGCCCATGAAGCACTTTGTGCTGGCATCAAGGGGAGAGGGGGTCACAGCACAACATAGCCTCACGGTCTCCAAGCCATGGTGTCTAAACAAGGCCTTCTCCTCCCCTTCTGAGGTGTCAGAAACAATACCTCCTGTGTTGACTAGATGTTTTTACACTGGAATGCATAGCCGGCATTTCTTCTCCATGAGCTGCCTAAGGGCTCTGTAGCACTCAAGTAATGTTTTGGCCTGGTCTTCAACCCAAGGAATGGGGAAAGTTTGTACAGCTAACAGAGACTTAGGAGCAGGCCCAGGGTTTGGCTCCTTTCTGAAAGATGAAGATATGGTAAATGTTATTCTCAAGGCAATGAAAGAGCCAGAGACAATAAGCCTTTATTCTGAAAAGCTTTAGCCTTTATGCTAAAATAGTATGCCAGGAATATTAATCAGCCTTCTGTAATTACATTTTCCATTTGCAGTACTTTGGTTTTTTGCCATTCTCTAAGTGCAAGCCTCGTATGGCTTGGTGGTATGTGTAAGTTTCAGATCTTATATGCTGAGATGAAGCGAGGAGATAATGCTAGATTGGGAAATAAAGCATCTTTTGGAATGATTTTGCTTGGTGCTTGCTAGACACTGGTAGGTGAAGATAGCCAAGGCATCTGGGAGACACTGAGGTGCCTTTCAGAGCAATACCAAGTGAAGGAGGTATTTTGGATTTTGATCCCTGAGGCATACTTGCCTTGCACCTGTATCTGTTTCTTGCTTCCAAGAGGGTCTGCAGCTGAAAAACTGGTGAGGTTTTAGACAAATTGATGAATCCAGGGGGTTCTCCTGGCAACTGAGTCTTGGCAATTGAATGGCTTTTATTCAATGCCCAAAGTATAAATGTAGGTATTTTTTAAGGCATGGAAATACAGGCTTTGCTGCTTTTCCAGTAGTTTTTGGAGAGCTGTGCTGAGGCAGCTGTGGCAGTTTTGCCAGTCACTATTGGCTGTATGGAGTGAGAAGCTGTTTTTTGGGGTACAGAAGGCACTGCAGCTGGTTGTGGGAGTAGGGGCAGGATCCACAACACTCCCAAGCCCTGTGGAAACATGTTTCTCTGCTTTGGGTCCAGTCCCACCCCTGCTTTAAAAATCCTTCTTATCCCATAAGGATCAAAAACCAGATGAGAGGGTAGGCATCAGTGCAGGGTTTTTTGTTCAGCAATCCCAGTCCAATAAAAATAAATGAAATTCTCCTTAGTTATTTGCTTTAAGCGGAGTGGAGCGCTGCTCTGGGTTTCTCAGTGGAAACTGCATGCTGAAGAGCTGTATTTTCCAGTGCCTTGAGGCCGCTGGCAGAGGCAGTGTGAGATGCTCCTTGGCATGCCAGCCTCCTTGGGGGGCTTTTTTTGTAGGTCTACAGCTATTTTTGGTGTGGGATCAGCACTGGCTCAGCCAGCCCATCCAAGGCGCCCTGGTTTGATGTTCTGAGGCATCACACACTTTCAGTGCCTGGATGTTGGCACTGAGACTGTGGGTGCTCGTTGCTTTTTGGGAGTGAGTTCCTGAGCTGAGCAGCCACAGCAGCTCTGGTATTGTTTATGTGGGAAATGGTGTCAGAGTCATGGAGAGTTTGTCTGCAGCGGAATTCTTAGCCCATGATTTAAAGGTGGGCTTAGCAGGCAGGTGACCAGCACCAGCACCCCTGAAGTGACTTTGTGGCTGCTGCTTGAAAGCAGCTCCTTTCCTTTGTGTGCAGCACATTTCTGAGGAAATGAAACTCAGATTAATCCTTCTAATCTCTTTGGGAGTTTCTTGGCCTTAATCATTTAAAAAGAAATCAGCTTTGGATACTCAAAGAAAAATGAATTGGATGAGCTTCTGTCTGGTGGCTGAGTAGACTGAAAACTGCCTCTTGCATTATTAGAGCTGTAATCACTTTTGGGTTGAGTTCTTAAGAAGTTACATTTTGGCATGAGGTTTTAGCCTTTTGTCCTGGGGGGTAACTTCAGAGGAATGAATCCTGCTTCCCAGAGCAAAAAGTATTCATTGCTTCCTGACCTGGACTGTAACGTGCTGGTGCATGGTAAAGGATGTGTGTTGCCAAAAATTTCTTCCTATGGCCTTATATGCATCACAGGGGTCTTTAAAATGTCAATAAAGAAAATAAACCTTCTGTAATTGGGAGGAAAAAGGAATCTACTCTAGAATAATGTCCCTGAAGCAAGAGTTATATTTATTGGAAAGATCAGCAGACTTTGGGCTATGACTCACATTTGGAGGCGAAAATTGCACTGGCACATGTGATTCTACACCCTTTGCCTGCTCTGCCCTCCTGCCCTGCCCACGCCACTGCTTTCCATGGGAAGGGCCAGCACCTTCCTGTAAACAGGGCAGAGTTTGGGTTTTGCTAAATAGGCTGAGCAGTAACTCTGGAGGAGTTGGGTATTCCCATCAGTGACCCAGCTTTTCCTTTGTGCTTTCCCAAAGGATTTGGGTGGTGGTGCTCTGAGCCAGGGTCTGGAGGGAGGGGGATGCTGGGAGTGTGTGGGCAGGGAAGGCGTGGGGCAGTGTCTCCTGGCAGATGGTCGGTGTGGCAGCCCAAGGGGAAGCTCTGGACAGTGGGACTTTCTGCCTCCAGTCTGTGCCGTGGCAGGATCTCCCTGCCGTGGTCAGCAGCAGGACCTCTGCTCACCCACCTTGGCAGTGACCTGGCAGCAGCAGCAGCCGCTGAGGGGGTTTGCTGCAGCACAGTGCTTTGCAAAAATTTCCTTTGGGCACCACTGTTTCCCTCCACTTCCATTGCCACAAAGTGCTTCAATGTGCTGTTATAGGCACAGATCTGCTTCCCAGGCTGATGAAAATGTGGAAACCTGGGGAAGGTCCATGGGAGGGAAATGTTTGTCATCTAGATCTTATCCCTTTACTTGAAAAAAAAAAAAAAAAAATCTGTCCTTGCATCTCTCTTCATGCAAAGACAGTGATAATGTCTGGTCCTTGCACAGAGGGACCAAGGAGGGGTCAGAGAACACTTCACGTGCTGTGCTTGATGCCTCAGTGCTTTTGTAGGAACCACTACAGCATGTCCTGACATTACCATGCTTTTAAATAAGCAGAAGTTTCTCAGAGCAGCACTGTGCAGAGTGGTTGTGTGGGATTAGTGGCAGCACCAATGCCAAAGGTCCCTGCTGTGCTCCGGCTGTGTGTGTAGCCCTGCTCTCCTGGGCTGTGGGGCAGGGGAACGGAGCTGCCTGGGGCGTCTGTAGAGTTGTACAATGAAACAGCAGAGGCACCATGGCATCCAGGAGATGTGTGCAGGAGGGGATCAGGGCAGAGTGCCTGGGCATGAGTGTGGTTGCACCAAAGCCAGTCCCCTCAGGCAGGGACCTCACTTTGTCCATCACAGCTCAGAAACAGCCTTTATGAGTGGGCAGCAATGAAAATGCTGAGCGGGGATATTGCAGCTCTCACTGTTGTATTGGCCGCTCCACAGAGCTGAGGAAAGAAGGTCAGATTAAATGTGTGTGGAGGAAATTGGCAGGTCTCTTTTGGCTATAAAAGCAGCTGAAATTCTTACTCTTGGATCTGGGCAGAGAAGGTCTGGTGGACAGTCCCCATACCTCCTCGTGCCTTTTAAATTAAGTGTGTTGGAAGGAGATGCTGGGAAATGCTGGATGAGCTCCTGACATTTTGTTTTCGTACCAGGGATGGGTGGACAGCAGCATGGTACTCTCCTAATTAATGCTAATGGGCCTGCTGCTGGCCAGGCACGTGGCTGGGACCATGTGCAGGGTGAGGGGTGAAGGGCTTGGCAGGGGCTGGCTGCTGTCTCACAGGGTTTGCTTTCCCCAGGAGAAGATCGGCTGGCGTAAGGAGGCATCCCACCTGCTGGTCTTCACCACGGATGATGTGCCCCACATAGCCCTGGATGGGAAGCTGGGGGGGCTGGTGCAGCCCCACGATGGGCAGTGCCACCTGAACGAAGCCAACGAGTACAGCGCGTCCAGCCAGCTGGTGAGTGGGGCACGGGGCCCGGCCCTCAGAGACCTCAGGGGCTGGAGGAGCTCTCTGGAGACCAGCCAGCCCCTGCTCCAGCAGCTTTTGGCAAATGCAGGGCCTGGTTTAACCCAGCTTCTGCAATTTGCAAATAAAATTTGCTCTTCCTTTGGGCATTCCCCCATAGTGAATGCTTCTGTGATGGTCAGAAATGAGTTGGTGACTTAGTGAGTTCCTTCAGAGCTCATTGCAAGGGATGGAAAAGTAACTTGGTATCCTGAAGAGCATTAAATTTTTCCTGCAAAGTGTACAGGAAACAGAATATGTCATCCCTTTTCTAAAATATGTCTGAGGAGGGTGGAGTCTGAGGACTGTCCAGAGGACTCTTCCTGCGAAGGATGTATCTACCTTGATGTGACTACACTAGCAAGTACAACAGAATGCTGCTTTTATTCATAGCCTTTGAGCACAACACTAACATAAGTCTTAGTAATAAACAGGCAAACTAGCCCTTTTTAAAAGTTGAACTCAGTGGAGGAAACTTCTGGGATGAATGAGCACTTGCCTGCCACTTCATTATCCCATCCTTCTGCAGAATGGTGCTTTATTCAGCAGATCACATGCACTAATTATGATTTTTGTTCCTGAATGTCACTCCGTGAGGGGAGGGGAATCTGTGTGGCTGTGTTATGGTCAGAAGCTGGGCTCTACAGTGGAACCCCCTGTGCAGTCCTACCAAGTGGATGTATGTGTAAGGGAGCACAGTCCCCAAACTGGGTCCCTTATGTGGAGTAAATGCTGAGGAGATGGCATGGGGATGCTGCCTTGGCATTTCCATGTTTGAATCTCAGAGGCTCTCAATCAGCCCTCAAGTAAATGAGATGTTTGTTTTTTTTTTTTACATCTTCAAGTAAATGAGATGTTTTTTTCCAAGGACAGAACTTCAGAAGCAGGCGGGAGTTTTGAACTCAAGCTGGTCTCTACAAACTGAGCCCTGGGTCATTATTTTGTTGCTAGAGCAGTGTCTCCCTGCCATCCTCCCCACCTGGGAAATCAGCAGAATTAAAAAGTTTATTGTAATCTCTTTATGGTCCCACTTTGCAGAAAGAACAGGCAATGGATGTTTCTGCTTTGGGAGAAACTTTCTGTAGTTATAGATCTCCCTGCCTCGCATCCCTTGAGGTAGCAGCCATTTAGCACATGTGCATTTGCTGATGGCAAAATAGGAAGTGGAAAGAAATAACTCAGTGTTTTGGGTATTGCTGTGGCTAGTGGTGTTGTCAGTCATGCATTTTAGTGAGCAGTGCTGTAGAAATATTTAACAGATTTCTACTATTTCAGTTAGAATTGTGCTGGTACATCAGGGACTTCATCCCACAGCAAAACACACCATGTGTCTGGAATGAATTTTGCTATTGGGAAGAGAAGAGCAATGAAATTACTTTGTTTCTGTGTTACTCACCAGTCATTCTGCCTGGCTTTTTCTCCCCTAGGATTATCCTTCCCTGGCACTTCTTGGGGAGAAACTTGCTGAAAACAACATCCACCTGATTTTCGCTGTTACAAAAAATCATTACATGCTCTACAAGGTAAGTGCTGCCGAGTTGCCTGGGCTGGGGGGAGAGTGAAATGCTTCTTGAGGCCCTGGGGAGTGGAGGCAGCTGCAAGCATGTGTGTGCAGTGGCAGACGTGTGTGTGCAGTGGCAGACGTGTGTGTGCAGTGGCAAACGTGTGTGTGCAGTGATAAGAGTGCATGCATGTGGCCACAGGCTGCCCGGTGCAGGCAGACAAGGCTCAGCCCTGCTGGTCCTTTCAGCAGAAAGCCCTAAAGCTCCTTAGAGCAAACAGATATATGTGTGTTAGTGAGCATGTGAAGAGCTAAAATAGGCTCTATGTTAATCGGGATGTTCGGACGGCTGCCAGCGTGCAGCGTGCCAGAGAGCAGAAACCTGCTCGGCCCATTCTGCAGTGACTTAATCCCATTACCTAATCCTGCACAGCCTTTCTGCCCAGCTGTGTTTTTCCATCACGGAGTCCAGGGCCCTGACGTGCCACACACAATTTGAACTCTCCTGCCGTTCCTGCTCTCCCCTTCAAAAGGAAAGTTGACCCAAGGCACGAAGACCAACCTGTGTTTAGAGCTGCCCTGCGGGGTTTGGTGCTCTGTGGGTGCAGGGGTGGTGTTTCAGGCGGGGTTGCTTTTGGAAACCTCTGCCGAGGTCCTCGAGGCTCAAGCAGGAACAACAAGCAGCCCTGTTGCTATGGTGGGGATGCTGCTGCTCACCCATGGGGAGTGGGAGGGCTGAGTTGTTCTCCACCCCCTCTCCAGGGGATGCTCAGGGTTGGGAGGGAAGTGGGGACAGCCACCCCTCCCTCCCTGCAGGGCCAGCTTTCCTGAGTGCACAGTGGCTGGTCTTCCCCCCCCAGCAGCAGAGCCCCAGGTATGTTTGTTCCTGACCCATGGCCATGAGCTTTGTTTAATATTTGACATGCTTCATTAGCAATGCTTTACTTTTGAAAGCTCCACATTAACTAGAGCCAAAATATACCATGTACACCACTGGGTGATGGGGCAGTGTGTGTGGCCTGTGTCCCTGGCATGGGGTCAATCCCTCGTCATCCTCTGATTTCCACTCTGCACCTCAACATTTTAATTTTTCTTCTCTTTTTTTTTTTTTTTTTAAAGAACTTTACCACTTTGATCCCTGGAACAACAGTGGAGATTTTGCACAAAGATTCCAAGAATATCATTGAGCTGATTGTCAAAGCCTACAACGTAAGTGCATTTTAATACCACAGCTGCTGAAGTGAGGAGGGCTAAGAGCTGGGCCAGCTCAGCTCACCCCAGTGAGCTCCACCCAGCCTGGCTGCCTCCCTCCCCTGTCCTCTCCACACTGCTGGAGCTGGGATGTCCACCCTGGGGAGGGAGACAAGGTGTGTGAGGAGGATGAGAAGCATGGATACCCAAGAGAGCCTGTGGGACAACAGAAATTTCACCTCATGTCTCTTGTGTGCAGAATTACCCACAAAACACAGCCCCCATCTAAAACAGATCTCTCTCAGAGACCTTTTACCTACCAGTAGGTAAAATAGATTATTTCTTTGTTATCTGATGTTCAGAGACCTCTCAAGGATAGGTCCAGTTAAGGTTTCATTCTTGCCTTGCTCTCCGTGCAGCCCACACTGGTTTTCAACACCCTATGAGTATCACCATGCTCCCAAAGGAGCCCTGCCTGCGTGGCACTGCCAGTGCAGCCTGCCCTGGCACAGTGACAGCAAGGGACCTGGAGTTGTACTGCTGAGCTGATGTCATCCATCTACACATGGAGATCATAGGAGCAGATCAATTAGAAGCAGCTAAATTGCATGTTCATAGCATAGTTAGTGTCAACATTTGTGTTGACTTTTCCCTGAATTCCTATGACTCAGGTTTTCATGATCCTGCAAGGATTTTGCTGGATGTTGGGCATGGAGATGTGACCCCATAAGAGGTGGACTTGTTCATGTGTGGGACCTGTGGGCACAGCTTTCAATGGCTGCAAGCTCTTCTTGGTACTGTGTTCATTAGTGCAGGGAGTCAGTAAGAACTTCTTTGAAGGAGTTTACACATCCAGAATCCATGTGGGGTTGGGGTGTGCTTTGCATGATCTGTAAAGTTCTTCCTTCTTGTCTCCCAGCTCCCTGCAGTTAAAGCAGCTTTTGGTTGTGCCCTTGGGAAGAGCGCTTCCCAAACGTTCCCCCTCTGAGGAAAGCAGTGAACATTTAATGCTGCTAATGAGGCCCAGGAGATGCTGTTAATCAAAAGCCCAGTTGTCCCAGTTTGTCTCTTGAAGTAGGAAGGTCTTGTGGCTGAGAAGCTTGGCTGGGGAGAAAGGACTTAATATTTATTCCATGTTGACTTTGCATGTGGCCTCAGTGCCATCAGGTGGAAACCTCCCTTAGCCTTGTTTTTGCAGCTGTAAGATGCATCCATGCCTCCATTTCACCACCCCTCAAGCCTTTGCAGATCAATACAAGCTGATGAAAACCATTGGGAACCCTGTGGCTGCACCACTGCTCCCTCCTTCTCTTTGCTTGTGAGCTTTCCAGCACAGCTGCCTGGAAACCACTTGGGTGCTTGACCAAGGTGCCCAATGGAGTGAGCTCTGTGGGCTGGCTGAGTGCCGAGGCTGGGGTTAGTTTCTTGCCTGTTCAGCTGGTGATGGGTGTGGGTGGGACCCCCAGGGGTGCTGTGGGTGGCTGAGTGCCGAGGCTGGGGTTAGTTTCTTGCCTGTTCAGCTGGTGATGGGTGTGGGTGGGACCCCCAGGGGTGCTGTGGGGAGCTGGCCGCTCCTGCCTGTGCCACAGTCAGCCCAGGGCCACCCAAACCTGGCACCTGCCCAGCCCGTCTCCTCTTGGTAGCTTTGCTTTTTTCCTGAAATGATGGAGGAAATTCTCCCTGAAGGAGATGGTTAAAATTCTGTTTCCCAAATGGGAGTGAACCTTTTTTTAGTCCCTGTGCAAAGGGAAGTCTGAGCCTGGAGAAATCCTTCATCTGCAAACAGGGACTGTCTTCTCCTGCGGGGCGGCAGTGGCTGATGTTCTGGGCCTGGGCTCAGTCCCTCTCCCTCAGTGTTTTCTCCATCTCTGGTCCTCTCTCATCTGCTTCCCCTCACTGATGCACACAGCAGAATCAGGGCTTATGTTACCCTCAAGATTCCTTTTCCCCATCTCTTCATCTTCCATCTCCCTTTTCATCTGCCCAGCATGCTGTCCCCTCTCCCTCATCCCACCAGGTGTGAAGCAAAAGAGAACAGGTACTGCTTTCTGCCTGCCCTTCCCCCAAATCTTACAATGCCTGGGAGATGGAAAAGCTCATGGGAAGCTGTGCCCAGACACAAGGCTGGCCTTGGACTGATGAGAGCAAATGGGATGCTGGTTTAAGAAGCACTTTCCTAAACCAAATCCAGGCAGGTCCTGTCAGTGTTTCTTGTTGCAACCACCAGTTGCCCTGTGTGGTGGCTTTGGTGTTGTCAGAAGACACTGGAGTGTAACATTGCCAAGGGGCTGATAACAATGGCACTGCATTTTAGGGTAACAGCAGGACCATACAGGGCTAATGAGAGGATTTGTGTAGGCACATAGGATGAGCCTGTGCAAGGCCATACTGAGGCTTGGCCTGGTGGCCTGTTTTCTGACATGCTCCCAATAAGATGCTCTTGGAAAGAAGAGAGAAGAGAGAGGAGCACATCAGTGTAGCAGCTAATTTCTACAGGATGATTTGGCCACAGCAGCATCCATAGATTAATTGGCAATTGGCACACACAGCGTTCAGCCCACAGGCAATGGATGCTCCATGTGGTCCCAGTTGTTACCCCATGAAAGCTTCTCTGTTACAGTAGAGAGATAGGAATTATTCCTTTCTTTCCTCAAGGACTGTTTAGATTCACCCGGCCAAAACTCATTTATTTCATGTCCATTTCTAGAAGCATTGGCTCTTTGCTGGCATGTGAACCCTGCTTTTGTCATCACATGTACTGGCAAGAGGTCTTAATTAGCACTTTTCCTTAATCTGGCCTCTTTGGTGAGGTCTGGGGACAAGGATGGAGCTGGAAGCTGGCTTTGGGTAATAAGCATATTTGTGCAGAAAGCTCCATTTTGAAAAACTTTGTCGTTTTTGGACATCACTGGTATGAAAATCAGTTCCAGCCCTTGGAAGAATTAAACAAAACAATGTCATTCCAAATTAATATTTATAAACTTCATTTTGTTGTGACTTAAAAAGTCTGTGTATGCAGCAGGGCTGAGTTAAGAAGCAGAAGAAAGGGGTAGAAGCACACCAAAACCTCACAGATGGAAAATGCTCTTCACTTTGAAAAAACTTTTCAAAGAAAAAGATTTTTCATTAATTTTTTCCCATGGTACTGTTTCCAGCTGACACTTATGAAAGGGTGCTTTTTGTTCAGCTTTTTTTTTCTAAGAGGGAGAATACATTTTTCTGACCAGTTGGGTGGAATGAAGGAAGCAGGACAGAGTTAGTGCAGTTTCACATCTTCTTTGTGATGCACAACAGACATTGTAGGACAGCTGCCAGTGGAGAATCAGGCTTTGGACTTTGCTCAGGAGCTGGGTTATGGGAGGAGAAGGTGCAGATGTGCACAGAAAGCTCTGACCTTCAATTCAGAGATATTCTGTTTCTGGTTGAGAAGGTTTTCTTCTTTGTCTTGTGCACCTGTATGTTTCCAGCGTTGGCTGCAGTGTCCATTACACCCTGCAGGGGTGGCAGGCAGCTCCCTGTGAATCTAGTTGTGATCATCAGAACTCTTCTGGGCTGGCTGAGTCAAACTCAACTCACAATGTCAATGTGTGTGCAGGGGTGATTTTTTTTTCATATAGGTGCAGAGATGTCCTACCCACCCTCTGGAAACAGCAGGAGAAGAGACTGAAGCAGAAGAAACCCTTCTGTCTTTGGGAGCTTGATGGGTTTGCTTTCCCCTTGTGTTTCCAGAGTATTCGGTCCAAGGTGGAGCTCACAGTCTGGGACAGCCCTGAGGACATTGGCTTGACCTTCACAGCCACCTGCCAGGATGGGTTGTCCTATCCTGGGCTCAGGAAGTGTGGGGACCTCAAAATTGGAGATACGGTGAGTCTGCCTTTTGATCTGTTCCCTGGAGAGGCTCTTTCACCTGAGTGGTTCTGGGCAATAAAACACAGTTTTGCTCATTTTCCTCTGCTTTCCTCATGATGATACAGAAACCCACAGAGAGTGGCTCTGCTAGAATTAGTTCTGGGTGGTGCAGGTCAGTCCAAGGTGAGCTGTGAGGAAAGAGGGAATACAGGCATCCTGTCTGCCATACTGAGCTAAAGGTCCTGATCAGGCAGCAGGATGCAATAGTCAAAAATGGGCCTTTTTCCCTTAATCACAAATATTCACATCACAGTCTCACCTGTGAAATTCCATAGGCAGCAACCGTCCTGTGTTCAGTTCCTAGGTTGTAGGATGGCAGCACAGATTGAAATAAATATTAACGTGGCAGAATCCATCCTGTGCTTTTTAAAAAGAAGTGAAGCTAAGCTTTGCTTGTTTAAATTGGGTGTTGATGCAGATAAATGAATTGCTGGGCTGCAGGGCTAGGGCAGGGGGGCTCAGGTTGGTGGGGAATCTCCTCCCTTTCTTCAAACTTTTGCTGTCTGATACCGTGGGTGTGGGTTCATTAGCAGCCTGATTGCCTTATTTGAGAAGAGTGACTCTGTCAACATACCTCAGGGCTCTCAGTGCTGTGACATATAAAAATAGCTTGAAAGAGTCAACAGTAGCTGGAGTTTTACCCCACCAAATAAGGATCATGTGAGATGTTAAACAGGGAAGTGGCCTTGCTTTTGCAACTGAATTTACTGGGTCCTGGGTAGGTAAGTGAAAGCAATCCCTGTAGCTCCTTGGATGGCTCCAGCTGCTGCAGCTTGTGCCATAAAGGCTCTGGCTGTGAGTGCAGCAGGGAGCTGGCACTGCTCCATTTTAGGGGCACCTAAAATGGTGAGGTCATGTACCTCCATCCCCTCTTTTCAGCTGCTTTCTGCCCCATTGCTTCCAGGAGATTTGACTCCTGCCTAGGAAGTTTCCCCAAAGAGGATCATGCTGGCACTGCACCCTAATCTGCCAGGGCTTAGTGCTGGGGCTGTGGGTGTCAGCGGGTGAAAGGGAGCAGGATTACCCTGATCCCCTTAGCTTGCTCTCTGATCTCCTCCTCTGTAATTTGAGCTTCTCTCCTAATTGCTTCAGGCCTTGGGAATGGGAGGGGGCCAAGGGAGGTATCTGGGGATGCAGCTCTCCTGCCAGGGGTGGCTGCTGTGTCCTCATCTGCATATTCCCCCTTGCCCTGTGGGGCAGTGAAGTCAGTGAGAGCTTGAGGTGACCCCCCAAATGTCCCCAGAGGGAAAGCATTCCTTCTTGAGGCCTAGGAAAGGGTCTCATTTCCTTGGAACAAGGTTAATCCTCCTTGCTAACTGGCAGCTCTGGGCAGTGCTGACCAGCCCTAACAAAGAGCAGGATTAAATCAGGGGCTGAGCAAGCAACCAAAGTATGGTCTTGGTTTTCTCAAGGAGAAAATCCCTGACACTGGATTGTAGCAACATAAAACAAGTAGGGATGTGATGTATAACCGTTTAATGATGTGCAGAACCCTTCTGAAGCCAGGCTTGATAGAAGCATCCATTCAAAATGGCCTGTGAGCAGCATGCCAAAAGCTTGGGACTGTGGGGCTGATACACATTTCCACATGCAAATCAGGAGTCCCATAAAACCTTCTAAATCCATGATCTTATGCCTATAAGAACCTTGGGTTCTTTGCTGTGCTGGTTAAATCTTGTTTCGAGAGAGTTTTCTGTTTTTAATAGCATGAAAACTGGGTTATTTGCTAGAGTTTTGCCCTGTTTGTTTCATGGGAATAGGCAGGTTCCTTCCCACTGCACAGAAACCAGTGGTCCTGATGGGGAAAATTGCTGTGAATGGCTGACAGCAGAGAGTTTTAAAATGCTTTGGATGCCCAGCCCCTCATATTGGTGCTCTGAGCTGCAGGTGCCCTTGCTGGATGTGCAATTGTTTGGGTTTTTTTTTTGCACACCTAGGAACGAAGCTCTGACGCGCTGAGTTCTCTGGAATTGCTCCATGGATTTTCCCCAGCACATTTGCTCTTCCCTGCCAGGGAACACCGCTGGCAGTTGCTTTGGTGAAAAATGCATATTTTATGATTGGCTTTTAACAAATATTAAATGAATATTATATGTGTTGTGTTAGAAAGTAATGCTGTATTTATTCTCTTAAGTAGTGCGTTAAATATAGTTTTAGGTTATAAAGAAAGTTAAAATAGAAACTATACTATTGTGAAAAATGCCAGTCGCTTGTTTTTAAAATTTTTAAAGTTTAATAGTAATAAAATGGTTATAAAAACAGTAATACAATTAGAGTAACAATAATTTGGACAATTTGAATTAGGACAATTTAAGACAATAGAGACAAAGAGTTATGGACGGTCCAGGTACCTTTTTCTGGGCAGCACGAGCGTTAACAGAGGATTAACCCTTAAAAACAATAACCTGTTGCATATTCATACATCTCCTACATGATGCATGAATTCCATTCAAATACAGGATTCTGTCTGGTCATGTCAACTTCTTCCTCTGAATCCTAACAGCGCCTTCGAGGCGGGGAGAAGTTCACTTCTTCTGATAAGAGGGCAATAAATTCTGAAAGATTTAGGTGTCCTGTGGCTGCTATCTTGCTGCGAGTCCTTTCTTTAAAAAGTATCTTACATAGCACAGTTTCTATTTTAACATTTTTTTATAACCTAAAACTATATTTAACACACTACTTAAGAGAATTAATACAGCATTACTTTCTAACACAACACATATATAATACTCATTTTAATATTTGTGAAAAGCCAATCATAAAATACATGCATTTTTCACACTATGTAGGATACTTTTTTTAAAGAAAGGACTTGCAGCGAGATAGCAGCCACAGGACACCTAAATCTTTCAGGCAAGAATTTATTGCTCTGTTATCAGGAGAAATGAA